TACTCCAACTCTCAACCATGTTGCTAGTAACTACAACAAAATTGACAAGAGTAAGAAAAGGCGACCTCGTCCAATGGTGGAAGAGCTTTTAATAAGAGAAGCGTAGGAGGGCTTGTTACAATTTGAAAAAACTTGCATGACAGTATGAAATTTAAAAACTATAGACGCTCTAGCAACTTTTCAAAATAAGTCATTTACCGTTTGGAACCCTCTAGGAAAAGCTTTCAACTTTTCCATAAATGCCTTTTTCACAATGTCTCTTCTCAGAGTTTGAAAATTTGAATTCTAGTGTTGGCATGCGACCCTACAAGCAGAAAAAATAAACACCAAAATAGAGGATCAAACACTGAAAGCCAATTCTTCCACATAGGAACATAGTTGGTTGCAGACTTGCAGCCAAAACTAAAAGCAAAGACCGAAAACTTCTAGAAAACATCAACAAAAATCATTTAAGGAAACATAAAGAGCAACACACACTAAATTAGCATCTTTCTCTGAAATCAATGTCCTTCCAGGACTTTCAAATATGTTAAAGCTTGATACTAATGAGTTCAACAAACCAAATCGGTTTTCCTTGTTCTTCTCATCAAAATGTGAATAGGAAACTGGAAAATATTGGTCGTTTGCATCAATACCCACCACAAAAAGTAGTTCACCTACATAATCATGCACAATGCTTGTCTACGACCAACCTTAAACCATTGCTTTGAGGTTTTGAAGAACACATACTGACATACATACGATAGAATGTTTGGTTTGTCTAGTCAACGACAACAATAGAAGAAAAGAACAACACTCGAGAGTAAGAAGCTTCAATTTGGGGATTTAGGATTTTGATTTCAAGTTACAAGAATAAGAAACCAAGAAATTCGAAGGAATCACATGGTTGGCTTGATGGCTTCTTCCCCTCCATGGGTTCGCGAGAAATAACATATGAATGGGAGCCATAAAATTTCTTCATCTCATAATTTCTTTGTTTTAACAATTATCTTAATAGGTCGAGAGTCTAGTGTAATAAGTTGGATGGTTCAAGAACTGTGTTTGGTTTGCTAGTCTCGTCAATAATTATCCCTTTTGCAGCTATGCTTGAACCGGACTAGTAACTATTTTCAGAGACCGAATAAGGTGCTAGCATCTCAAGTATTAGCATCATAATAAGAATAATTATTAAGGATATTTTTCTCACATCGATTTCTAATAGTTTATTTAGAATTTTATACATCTTTAGTCTTTACTATCACAAGTTAACAAGCATACCCATTTGCTTATTTTTTTTTGCCCATTTGTATAACTCAACTATAATAATGTAATAATTTTACCCTTTCGTTAAGTTTTTCTTCCATTCCCCTTTGTAGGAGAGGGAAAATGAAACATTTACCACACCCATTTTTATATTTCCATGCTTTTATTTTTAATTTTGTTGTGTATTCTTTCATTTGTTAGTAGGAGAAGAAATTTTCTTTTATTCCTCCACAGAAGCTCGAAGCATTTCCTTCCCAATCTCCTCCATTCAACACACCCTCATAATCAATCTTGCCATTTCCTCTTATTCCAGCTCACTAATTCCATAAACCCATACAATACATTCATGAGATTCCAATATCCTATCCCCAACTAAATATTAATTTTAAGGGTAATGACTTTTTATTAGCCTAACCTTTTACGAATTCTTTTTTGTTAGCCAAATATATCAAAATACTATGAATTAGTCAAATGTTAACTTTCAGTTAGCAATTCTGTTAGTAATATTGACTTGGCAACATGATACTCACTTTGAAGAGACACATAAAGGTCAACATTCCAAAATTTTAGTATTTTAACTAATAAAAGAGTTACAAAATTATTAACAATAAATTAAAAATGGGTAATACTTTGTTGCATTATGAAAGATTTGGCTAATTAATAGCATTTTAATAGGTTTGAATAACATAAAAGAATCTGAAAAAGGTTTGAAAAAAATAGACATTACCCTAATCTAATTTATGGGCAAAGGGAAGCCGATCTACAACTATTTCATTCTCATCTCCATCTGCTCGCACCACTTTAAGCAGCTCCACCGCAACCAGAAGGCATCTCTGCTGGCACACGAAAACCATCTTCTTGTCTACCTACTACCAAGCGCCATCTTCTTCCCCTTTCATAAACGTCGCTGAGACGAATTCCACTCCCCATGGTCGTTAGACGTGGTAAATGGACTGGACTCATTGATTGGATTAATAGATTGGTTCAAGTGGATTGATAGATTGATCCGTGAATCCAAATGACATGAATCATCAACACCTTCAAGAGGGTCGAATCTTTCTGCACTGACATTTTCTTCCTCTTCATCATCTTCACAATCACTAACTGGAGCTGACGACACATCTTCCATCTCATCTAGATAATGAAAGGCACCATCTTCAGCTCCGTAATGGTAGTTGTGATTACTACCGCTGCTTGCATGGAAGTCATACTCGAGTTGGCCTTCTTGTTGGTTGTCATGGTATTGTTGGGATTATTGAACGTATGATGGGAAGGGTTGATGATGATGGCCTCCACCTCCTTCTTGGTACTCATGGTACTGTTGGGCTTCTTCTTCATATGATGGGAAAGATTGATGATGATGACCTCCACCTCCTTCTTGGTACTCATGGTAGGATTGATCATCATGGTAGCCTTGATAGGAAAGATCTTTATATACCCCACCGCCAACGAGAATACCATATGTTTGGCCACCTCTAGGATGACCTCCACCGCCTTCAACCTCTTTAGTGTAAAAAATATATCTGCTTTGGAAATGTTATTGACATCCAGAAAATCGAGCATGTCATCAACTTCATCCTTACTAGTTAAGAGAAATTTCTCATACAACAACGACCCACCTTCTTTGTTTGGATACCGATACACCAAACGATCAACTCTTCTCGTGCCCTCCATGCAAGTAACCCTAGTGCACATATGACAGAGCTCTTCACGGTTCAGGCGCGTACCAATCTTCACTTTATGAAAATCACCACCTACATAACGTACCCCTTTCTAGTCTCTTTCGTGTAACCATCGATCATATCAAAAGCGTGAATTTTCGACAGGCCATCTGCAATAAATTTATTTTAAAATTAACTAAGCGTGAATCATTACATTCTCTATATTATCTAAAGACATACATAATATACAAGAAACAAATGTAACCATAACAAAGTAATAAAAATGAATACAAAACAAACGTACGGAGTAATATAATTGCAAACAGTGAAAAAACAGTTGGTAGAAGAACAAAAATTAAAGGAAGAAGGAGAGACAGAGGAAGTAGTGAAGAGTTGAGGGTGAAGGGTGCTGCATTTTATATGCAAAATGTGACTTGAAAACCGCCACACCCCCCGATGGTCCACAGTAGACCACTAGGGGGTGTGGCAGTTTTCATTACATACCCAAACCCCACGTATGTCGATCGACCGAATGCCGACATATTGGTTGTCGGGGGATAGGGATATCACATAAACCGTAGGATTCCCCAGTGATTTTATGTATGCAGATCGGATCACCAAGGACTAAGGCAGTTCTTTTTGTGAAATTAAAACCACTAGGGGGTTCCTGCGGTTCTTTGTAGGTGGTCAGCCAGAGAACCGCAGCCACTCCCTGCCGTTCTTTCACAAAATGAAAACCGCAGCACTCCAAGAGTGATGCAGTCCTTGTAAAACTGTGGAATGAATGATTTTTTTTAAAAAGAGTGATATTTTTGGAATTTTTAATTTTTGTGTGGTATAATTGGTTAATTCCGGTTTAATTAATTAAAAACAAAAGGTAAAAATGAAGGGCAAATTTGGCTTCCCCATAAAAGAGATTACGGAAAACTTGTCGAGACGGTAAAGTTGTCATATTTATATCTTACCATTACTATATGGAGATTCTCCATCACAACATACTCTATTTAAATTTTCCAGCTTTCTAAGAGTTTGTAGGAAGGATATTTTTGTCATTTAAATTATTAAAATAAATTATTTTTAGATTACTAAATCAAATTAATATGTCTGTCTTATTTATACGTGTAGTGGTAGGATTTTATTCATTAATAATAAATATATCAAAATATTTTAGACTTCTAAATCAAATAAATATGTCTACACATTATTTATACGTGTAGTGGTAGGTATTTTATTCATTAATAATAAATATGTCCAATTATATTTAGACTTCTAAATCAAATAAATATGTCTACACATTATTTATACGTGTATTGGTAGGATTTTTGTTCATTAATCATAAATATGTCCAAATACAATATTTATAATCTTTAGTTTGAAAACTAAACATATGGAATTTTAAGCTATTGGTTAGTAGCTAACTAGCTATGTCAATTAAGAATCTTTAATTGATATAGGTTTCGTATTTGTAAGGATGGAGGTAGTGAATTTGAAAATAGTGATATTGAGTAGTGATGTTGTTGAGAAGAAGAGATAGACTATTGATGATGATAGAGAGACTTCAGTGATGAATATGAAACTATAATTATTGACATAGATGATGATGGCGAAGCAATAGCAAAGAAGTCCCTAAGAAAAATTACATTAATTTCTTACAGCAACAAGTAAATTGAAGTATAGTTTGATTTTTAAGAGTTAGTTCCCTTCCATGAGTTCTAATATTTATTTTCAGTAAGAACTTTTGTTGATGAATCGATGAGCATATCAGAAAACTTTATGATGTATGTTCTTTTTTTGTTATTTCCCATAAATTGAATAGTTCAAGTCTTTTGACTTTTGATATCAACACAAATATATCTTGCTTAGTGCAGTTACAATTGTTGCTTATGTGTTTGAAATAATACATCCAGCCAACAAACATGGTGTTTTTGTTATTGATGTACCGATTAGCATATAAGAAAATACCATGATGTAAGTTCCTTTTTTCACAATTTAATAGTTCAAATTTTTTTACTTTTGAAATAATGTATTCGGCCAACGGGCCGGGTTTCAATCTAGTAGTAGAAGAATACAAATGTACAAAATATTAGTAGAGAGGCATGTTAATTATCTCGCGATAGTAAAGGAGCTATTAACCCTTTATTTTATCTCATTATCGGAAGAAGTTGAAGGCATCTTCATATATATGTCATCTGCAAAAGTAAAGATGGAATTCACATACTATATCACCAGCAGCCATCCCTAAACTTTACAGATCTCCATTGTCCCCAAAATGAAGAAAGAAGAGCATTACATGTTCTCAGTAGTCCCCAAAACCTACAGATCCTCAGCTGGTGAGCCACTGCACGACCCCACGCCTTCTCTTAACCGGTCACAAGATTCAAACCCACGTTGAGAAGTGGTTGCAGCTTTCTTCTCAATCCTCTTCTCCAATGTTCCTTCATTCTCACTCATACCACCATAATCCTTGTTCGGCTTCCCTTCCACGCTAAGATAGTCCGTCAACACCTTCTTCACACCAAACCCTCGCTGTGGTATCTTCCCACTAGTCCTGAAGGGTGATTTTGTCGCATTCTCCCCTTTCACCGCCGCCGGTGAAAAGTTTGGCCCCGTGAATCCTGTTTTGAATGGACTGTTCGACACCGGAACAGAGTATGGGATATTGACGCTCCGGTGAGCAATCACACTCACTTTAGAGATGGAAGGGAACTGGTCCGAATGTTTGGTTAGATCGTCCACGTAGAGCAGGTCATCAATCCTTGCAACGATGTTGAATGCCAAGCTCTCCAAAACCCTCGAGTAGCTCTCCAGAATTGACTTCCCAACGTCCTGAAATAAATAAGAAATTCATTAAAGATCTTATGTTTCACAGGCACAAACTTCTTAAGAATCTGTAACGAGTTCATTTGTTTCCAACACTGTGTCAGTCATTCGGATTAGGAGGACATTAAAGTGCAATTCATGAACTAACCTTGTTGTATTGGATTTTGCTCATGTCTAGAGCTGTCTGGGGTAGACCAGGGAACTTCTGTTTCAAACAGAGAAGCAAGCTTTCCGCTCGATCAACAAGCAATTCTCTCTTGTCTCCATCTACCATCAGCTCTTTCATCAATTCCCACGAAGACTTGGAGCTCGACCGAGACGTGTTGCTGTTGCCTGTGGATTTGGAGTTGGACCTCTTTCGCCACACGTAGATGCACGACTCGACTCGATTCGCAAGTTCTATAGCTTGGTGTTCGGTGGAGAGTTCAAGGCAATCCAGGAGGCATTCCGGGGAAAATTGGTCCGACGAAATGTATCGATAAATTAGATCCCCTAAGCTCGCCTTCCCATTCTGATAAACCAAAGTCTCAAACCACTGAGTTTTGCTTTCGTTAGTGAACAGTGAACCAAAATCTACAAGTAAACGCTGTTGTATACCTTTGGGAGAGCATCCAAGTAGGAGTCAGGAACTTCCATATCAGATAAAGCAATACTGTTGATTGCCATTGCGGCTTTCAGTATCTGGTTTGTGCAATCCCTTTTGTGCTGCAATTGCTTCCTTGAATCTTCCTGGAGACCACCGGTAGGAACACGTGGCACCGGCAGCCACCATTTTTCCTCTTGGCGGGGAAGGTTTCGTCGAAAGGACGATGACCCGTCTGTCTCAGTTGCTACGATACCTTGATCAACGTACCAGAACTCTGTGTTCTCAAAACTGTCCAATATTTCCTGTCATTTTAACAATAAGGGTTCGCTTTTCAGAATTGGGCTTTTGAGAAATGCAAAACCCACTTGGGGAATGTTGAATTAGGGTGACTCTTACGAGAAGCATGTTGTCCAATTTGCGGAGAGCAGGTAGATTTATGTAAAGATCAGATCTTGGCCTACAAGTCATGACTTCAAGCTTGCTTCCATCAGGAAAAGTCTGCCATGAAGGAATCAACTCGACGATGTGGTCACTCACGCAGAGAAGCCATTCCATTTCTCTGCGCCACATTGCTTTTTTCTCTGGCGGTAAAGGCTCCAATCGCCATAGTTGCCCAAACAGAGTCGCTGTAACCACCAGCGTTAAAAACAAAGACAGTGGGGGAAAGCTAGAGTTAATGGTAACGGGGGGAAAAAAAGAGAACAGAGAGGTGGCCTTACCGCAGAGATTAGTAATGGCGTTTGAAATAGCCAACGCCGTGCAAACCCCATTCCCACAGCCTGACATATCTTCACCAAGCAACAGCTTCGAGAATCTTTCCTTCATCATCTCTATCTCTGCGAACATTTGGCGCTAATTTCAGATGTTACCCACCAGGTGTTCGAGGGAATTCCTGAACGAAACAAAGCAAAGAATAATTACCAGAAATTGAAGACCCGCGTTCGTTCGGCTTCCTCCCACCCGCTTTCTCTTCCTCATCGGCGGAGATATTGGTGCTGGTACAATCAGGGACTTCATCTTTTCTCACGCTCCAACGCATGGACGGCGGCGGGGGCGAGATAGACTCCTCCTCTTCTCCATCGGAGCTACAACGACTCTGTTCTTCCTCCTCGTGGGCTGTCGTCTCCGAGGTCAAGAAGTCGGAGCTCGAACTGCTTTCTCTGCATTTGTCTTCCATAAATTCGCCAAAAGTCCGAACAACCTCTCCATTGTTCCCCCCGCCAAGCCTCCTTCCGTTGGCCATTTTTGCTTCTTCGTCTTTGAGAAACCCAGGGGAGTCGCAGAAAGCAGAGTTGTTTACGACCATGCAACTGAACTTGAACTTCCCGAGGCGAAACCCACCACCACTACCACCAACAACAGTAGCGCCACTCGAGGAGCTAACTTTGTCCGAGGAGGAGCACCAATGTAGCACGTACTTTGAGACCCAGAAACCAAATAAAGAAAGGTAGCGGCCGCTGAAGGTCGTAGAAGCTCTGCAGCTATCCCTGAGCTTCCCAAGTAGCAGGCAGGTGGGAGCACAAAGGTTATTGAGGTGGTGGGAAGAAGGTTGGTGGTATTGTTGTGGATGCTCTGTATTCTCTCTCTCTTTTTGGTGAGTGAAAGCTCTATCCATAATACGGTATCATCTTCGACCCAAGCCTACTACTACTCCATTGTGAGGGCAAAATAGAGAACCTGAACGAGGAAAAATCATTCTTTTCTTATTAAATTTGTTATTTTTTTCACTTTTGGAGGGGAGACATTAAATTTGGTTTGTTGTGTTTTATAGCCTGTGGAGAAAGGCAAGTGGAGAGGTGAGCAAAGTAGAGGGGAAGGAAGGAACGCTCTTCTTAATTATTATGGTTCCTTCCTTGTTATTATTACTTGTCCAAGCACATGATCTGAGACGAACCTGAGAGAAAGTGAAGGAGAAGGAAGGCTCTTCTTAATGATGACGGATGACCGCGGTTTGTTCTCATTATTGTTCTCTTGCCAAAGAAAACAGAGGATTTTTACTTTGTTGCTCTGTTTTCATCTAGCTTATATTCTGTTTATGAAATCCTTTTTAATTTTATCCCCCTTCTAATGGAAAGAAAAATACAAAGGATAGACTTTTCCCCTAACTTTACTTTTAAGTGGGGTTTGTTTTATGTTTAGTTGGTAGTGGTGTTGGGTTTTGCGTAAAAAAGGCTTTTCCATGATACGAGGAGGGAGTGGGGAAGATGGCTTGAGAACAAAATAACAAGGAGAAGAAAGATGGCATAATAAGGAAATAACGGGTTGATTCAAGACATAGCTTCACCAATAATCCTTATATCTATGTGATATTCTCCACAATGATAACATTAACGAATTTCTTACAATGTCACAATTTGGAAAAAATGGTAGATCGGTTTTAACAAATAGTCAACCGAACGAAACAATTATCTTGTTGCCACAAAATTGTATCATAAAAAAGAAAAACAATAGCCGATCGGTTAGCATGTTGAGGTAGGTATTTTATCTTGATTTCGGTCAACCTGTGAAAGCAAGCAGTCGATCGTTGTTTGCCTAGTAATTGTGGGACGCTAATTGCAACAAGATAATTCTATCATTTGATCGACCGTTTACATAAAGTGATTGACTGCTTTCTTCTAGGCAAGATAATTTAGAAGTTAATGTAGGCATACCCATAAAATTCAAATTAGAGATCTATATGTGCCAAGTTTGTATGTATAGTTGCTATTTTTTACGAGAAATTTTATAATATTTTAAAGTATTGGTGTTTAAGTTTTTACCTTTATAGTATGGTACAACTTCAAGTTGTACCTATACATAGGCGGAGGGAGGGCAGTTTGCCCTTGTCCCAGGGGAGGGGCAAATTTTGTAAGAGTAAAAAATAACCCCATGTATGTTTGAATTGAGAATAAACTCAACACCTATAACTACAAGTAATATAAGGATATTTTGCCATTACATTATAATTCATTACTTGTTCATTAATTACCAAAATATAATTAATTTATTTGTTTCATTCATGACACTATTATTCGACAACAGATTGTTGAGTATTATAATTATTTTATGGCTGGTGAGAGATTTGTTGGATTGAAAGGAATTGATAAATGATCTCAGATGATGGTGGAGACAAAAGTGCGTAGGTTATATCGATAAGTTTATTTGCTTTTTAAATTAGTTTTGATACTACTAGTTGCAACTCCGAACGTAAAAAGAGCATTTTTAGATTGATATATTAAGAACAAATTTCGAAGTCGAATTGATGATCAGTTTGTTAATGATTGTTTAGTGAGATAGATCGAAAGAGGCTCACTTAAGAGTGTAAACAATTAATTTATTTTGTAATTCTTTCATAATATGAAAACTCGTCGTGGTTGTTTATGCAAACAATAATTGTATTAATCATTTATTTCTTTATCAATTAATAAATTATTAGGATATTATTAATTTTAATTTTAATTATTAAAATTAAATTTTTTATATTTTGAAAAAGGACAGTGGTAGTTCCAAATTCTGCCTCCGTCACTATACCTATACTCTTTTGTAAAATTTCTTTATGGTACAAACTACAAACTAAAGTTGTACTTTTATGTTATGGTACACAACTTAAAGTTGCACCATCATATAAATGTCAAATTCCCTTATTGTACAACTTCAATTTGTACATTTAACCTAATGGTACAACTTGAATTTTTAAAATAACATAAATGTCAAATTCCCTTATAGTACAAATTCAAGTTGTACCTTTAATGGTACAACTTCAAATTATATTTAAAAGTACCAATATTTTAAAGTAGAGTAGATGTCCTATTTTTGACATGTTATTGAAAGAGATGTGCAGGTAACTAGGGCTAGAAGTTTGGTACCGGTATTTGGGATATACCGAATACCCTACCGAATTTGTCTATATTTGGTATTACCCAATACATGAATTATTTTTTGGGATTGTGATTGAATTTCATTTGTTATTCGGTATTAGGGATTACGGGATTGGGATCGGTATATACCGAAATACCGATCAATACCGAAATATAAGCTAGTGTGTATATAATCCTCTCAACTAGACTCTCTCATTCACTACTACACGACCGTCAACCACCAAAAGTGTCATTTAATTATATATAGATCATTCCATCACTATTAATAGTCGTCTGTCAACCTCTAATTCGTCAAATTAAAGATTACCAATGACAAGAACTCAAGATGTCTCCTCTCCTCCATTCTCTTTAATAAAATCCTAATTCAAGACTCTTTGTTTAGTCTTTTTTCCCTAAATTAAACAATAAAATCTAATTTATATATTTAATTATTAATTGTAAAGGTACTTAATTTCGTATTCGATAATATCGATTGGGATAACGAAGTACCGATTGGGATACCGGTATATTTAGGGATTGGGATTGGGATACCGAAATTATTTAGGAATTGGTATTGAGATTGACTTTAGAGTTTAATTCGTTATTCGGGATTTCGGTATTTAATATTGAAATACCGATACCGTACCAATTTCCACCCTTACAGATAACAAGCAAAGTCCACCCCACATTCGAGTATAAAACCTTCAAATTGAAAAATAATGATGGTATCACTAAACTGAACCTTTTTTTTACGAAGTACTCACCTTAATTACTGTTGGAACCACCAATAATAGCCAATTACCGTACCTTTTCTCATATCAGTTCTTCAATTTTAAGTTTCCGGTTAAACTTAACTCACCTTTCATCAAATTTGGTGAACAAGTATATGATGTAATAGTCTTTGATGACTAATATATATATAATGAGAAAGTAGTTGTTTTAAGGAGTTTGCTGGTGAGATATTGGAGGGTACAATATAGGACTTGATAAGATTTACTTTTAAATATATTTGTTAGGCAAGTTTTTTTTCCCCCTATGATTTACCTTTAAAGAGTCTTTTCCATTTTGCTATGACTTGTGTTAAAGAGACTTTTTTCCTTCTCCCACATTTTTTTCTATATAGATTAAGCAAGTTTTTCTCTTTCTCAATTCATAAGGGATTATATTAGCGTGCACATGTTCTATCATTGTTCAAGTTCATAACTATTTAAATGTTACATAGCTGCAAGTTTTACAAGTCACTGTTCATTAATTTGTGTATGGACTACACTATGACTAAGAGAAATCAGTTCACTTCAATATTTATATAATCACTCATTAATGTCTAATTATCAATTTAGTTTTCCTTTAATCATTCATCAATAGATGTAATTCATTCTTCTAAAATAATTCATCACCAGAATAAACACCCGTCAATAAAATTAGCCACTTCTTACAATCACTTAATTAATTATAAATTTTGGTTAAGGAGGAACCATAACCTTTATTTATTTTAGAGGGGGTTCACTAACCTATTTAAGGGAAGATTCATACTATCATGTTTAAATTTTTTGTATTTCTCGAGATATATATCAACTACAATATCATATCTCGAATACTGAATACTAATAAAAAATCAATCTCAATCACCAAACCCAAAATTTTTGCTCGTTATTTGATAATTCCAAATAATAGTAAATTCGGTGTGGTATTTGATGTATCCCAAACACCGATACTAAAATTCTTTCCCTGGCTGGACATTGCAATCCTGTGGAGTTGGTCATCGACTTTCCAAGTAATTGTTAATTACTAATCAACTTAAATCACTACTCATTATTTCGTAGTAAGACTAATATGCACATTGACATAACTACATGGAATAACTATGTGTTCTCATTCCTAAAGGAGATTTACTATACCCAATAATTTTTTTTTTTGCTGATAACCAACGACTTCCCAAGTAACATTTACTAATAATGAATTAAAGTACATAAATTAGTCTGGTCACAAAACACGGGAATTCACGAGAGAACTTCATATTCTATTTCATTACTAGGCTCTGTTCTGGTCAAATCAATTATGGTTTGTTCGTTGTCAAAGTTTAAAGGTCTTTGCATATAGAAGGTACACACGCACAATGACTTAGCACCAAACTGTATGTTAAGTATCATTAGATTCAGTTCAATAGGGATTGCACGACTAACAATGTTTGATTTCATCATTATTGATTTCGTATTGTGTGTCTGGAAGTTTGAAAAAAATGATTAAATGGAAAACTATATTTGTACCCCAAAAGTTAACGTTTATTAAAAACTTTATTTCGTTCTCTAGTAACTTCAACCTTCGAATTAAAAGAAAAGTGCTATTTACTTCTAATTAACATATACATTTTTAGGTAAACCATTGTGAAGCGCGAGCCAATTGTGAGTATAATAAATGAAGGAATAAAAACTGAAATCGAAATATATTAAGTTTAAATGGTGAAAAGGAGAATTTACAAGTTGCAACTTCAAATATACAACTAGAGCCAGGAGCTCAATTTGAATATCTGAATAGCCCCCTCCAAGCTAGGAAACTAGGAACCCAGCAATTTTGTTTTGTGTTATTAGCATAGTCCCCAATGCAACACCAACAAAGGCATTAAATGGGCTATAGGACGACTACGGGACATAAATGAGAAGAGCAGCAAAGGAGAAAACAAGACAAAACGGTAGATCCAGAAGAAGCTACAAGTTCCCCCACTCTGGTCAGCTGTTTGTTTGGCAGCCACAGTTTTTTAGGGTCTGAAGGAGCCGAAGATAACGAGAAAAGGATACTTTTGTCCCTCTCCCTCTCCCTTCCTGCGGGCCTGCGGGGTTGTACCGTTGGGAGTCAGTCTTCTTCTTCATTCCATCGAGGGC